ACACAGAAGTTAGAGCATGACGCAAAATTACAGAAAAGGAGATCGAGCCTAAAATCACTGTTATTATTACAACTGCGACTACACTACCACAGTCGGAGCCAAAGAGACGAACAAACCATGCAAGACACAGGAATCGACTGCAGCTAAACCCATGGTGAGTGAGCACCTCTGGTCGACGCCAGGACACCCATCGAGATAAGATGCAGAAACCCCCATGAAAAAAGTCTCGGTACAATCCCTCCCGTTCAGCGCGATTTACTAGTAATTCAGGGCGCTGTTTGTCGACGAGGGGGGGGGGCATTTTGTACTACCATTGCTTCCCTAGTTCCGGTTTACAAATCTCACTCTGGTAAAACTTGTGAACGCTTGTGAAGCTGGAGCAAGATCGTCTAGCCACCATCCTAAAACGTGTCAACTCGAGAAACGGCTACCTAGATGGGTCGACACATCTATGGAAAGCAAAATGCCCCCTCCCCCCCCCCCCCGTCGACAAACTGCGCCGTAATTCAGCGCTACAATACTGAGGACGGTCTCGCCTCCTCCGCGCCCGCACATAATTATTCTCACAATATTCGGAACTTTGTAAAAAACAACCATTGAAGACATTCCGAGAAAAATGAATGAGCTGTACAAACATACCAACCGGATTGAAAAACTCGAAACATCGATAACAACGCTTGAAAAACAGTTAGGAAACACTGTCACAAAAAATCACATAATGACTAGCAGAAATCAAACCTTACTGAATGCTTAAAGGCAGCGCTCATGATCGCCATTCTTATTTTTCAGTGCGCTCACGTGGCGAAGGGGAGGAAAAGTAAAGAAAATTCGTCGTAAAGAATAATGCGTGATAGAAAAAAGAAAAAACAAAAAGTGAAATGCCACTCATGAATGACCCTCTTCTCATTCAGAGCAATTACACGGACATTCGGCCTGAGAAAATGAGTTAAGAGGATACAGGCTTCTGTCAAACAACACTCTTAGCTCGAGAATTCTGGTACCTTTCTCCTTCTCATTCACTCAGCACCATTGCTTGTAATGTCACAATGAAACGGGTTCGTATTGGGGCGCATTTGCACCTTCTGTTTTGCGTTTCGCATCTGATTGGTCAGCGATGTGAGGTGAGAAGGCGCGAAAAGGAAGAGGAAGACAGAAGAGCATGAAAATGGATTTCGCGGTTTGGCAACTATGGAAAGTCAGAAAGTCCGCCAACGTACCATGGAGCTTGAATGGAGACCTGGGTAAATCGATAGTCTATAAGGTTATTTACAAATAAATGCAAAACTGCAACCTGTATTTCGGGTAAAGTTTGTAATGATGCAGTAGGGTGGAAGGCTTGGTGGTGAGCTGTGAAGCATAAGCGAGGAATCGCATACGTCGAATCGAGTCGTCGAACGTCGAACCTTACCACTGAACCACCACGACTCGATTCGACGTATGCGATTCCTCGCTTATGCTTCACAGCTCACCACCAAGCCTCCACCCTACTGCACCATTACAAACTTTACCTGCTCATAAGTTGCTTGTGAAATGCAGGTTGCAGTTTTGCTATCTATATTTGTAAATAACCTTATAGACTATCGATCTACCCAGGTCTCCATTCAAAGTTCCATGGACTTTCCTGATTAGACGCAGTGGGCTCCTGCGGGAGGCGAGTGGGTACTCGCGGACACTGCCCTTAATCGACGAGAGAGGGCAGATTTGAAAGTGATTCGAGGATCTGTGGAAACGGAGGTCGAAGATGTCGATCTTTGTCTGCACACTTCAGCCCCAGAAACATAACTCCATCACACCACGCCACAACAGCAGCTAGAATCAGCTCATTTACATCACAATGAGAAAGGTACAGAAACTGAGTGCGAATTAACGAACCTTGGTTATGAACACATGGAGTGCGTTTATCCATGAGCGCTTTGATCCAAGCAAGAGACGAACGTCCTGATCCACATTTTTGCGCATCTCTACTGCTAATGCAGTAATCGGCAAGATTTGGAGGAACACGTGAATCCATAAAAGCTCTCATTCCTATGGTGAAGCAAAAAAAATAAGTTGAAAATCAAAGAACAAGATCTTAAGAAATACCTGTGCATATCTCTAGAAGAACAATGCCAAAACTGTACACATCAAGCTTGGTGGAAAGTATTTTATTCGTAATGAATTCAGGTGGAAGATAAGCGAGCGTTCCTTTCACATGGGAGGCTATCAATGGAGACTTTTCCTCAGCATCTGCTTCGATCTCAAAAAGCATATTATCAATCAAAGATGAACCGCAAAATCATACATCATCCTCTAAATAAAATCCACTTAGTGCAGTGATACCAAACTTCCAGCACGGATCACAGCAGAAGCAATTCCAAGCTATGATACAGAGGATGGTACAGGAACATTTTCGGAGGGCAACAGGAGGTAACGGCTTATAGCATCCCATGCTTAGGCAGCGTTCAGACTTCGCGACGGCAGCGCTTCGGTCGCGCGTTCGACGCGATCGATGCGCATGCTTTCTACTGCATCGATCGCGTCGAACGCGCGACCGAAGCGCTGCCGTCGCGAAGTCTGAACGCTGCCTTATAGAGCGAGCGTAAGCAGTGTCATATCAGACGTCGCACAACGGTGTTGTCCAGCATGAGATTTAGAGGATGAGATAGGGACATCAATGGTGGCTGGCAAAAAGCCACAGCAGCTGACAGGGTCCAATAAGAGGCGTTGCCGTCGCGTCGTTCTTCAAGGTAGTGGAGCTTTCATATTACCATACAAAATTAGTGGCAGGGACATGGTAGAGTATGGGGAAATAGGAGGATATGGGACTGTTGGCAGAGAGTATGGGAAGCAGGAGGTAGCTGTCTACTAGCGTACTTCCCCATACTCACCTGTCGTTGCTAGTCGCTGTTCCCGCGATCAAGTGATCAGCGAAATGCCTTCATGCATTAGCACCTAACCAGGGAAAGGTCAACAGGTCGCCATGGCCATTCAAGATGAGATGCATATCGACGTGTAGGTCTTGGGACGCTGAACTCAAATCTGCTTCCAAAATTTGCTGAACGATTCTCTATGAGGAGTTAGGGGGGTGGTGGTTTTAGCATAGCACTCGCCGATCCTCCTTTGCGTAGCTCAAGTTAAGTTCGAGTACAGACAGTCTCAAGTGGTCGATGGTGTAGTGGATAGGTAAGTTGCTTCATAGGCGGGAGGTCATGGGTTCGATTCCTTGGACGGGTCCTGATTTTTGCATTTTTTCGGAACATCTTCTGCGAGTTCAGAAAATACTTTTATCCGTTTCTTTGTCAACCTTGCTCCTACTTGCAGCAGAAAAAGACTCAATTGCCGGCATTCTGGGTTTTTGCTATTGAAAGAGTTTTTAGACAGTGTTTTTAACTGCCCAAATCACCCGAAAGCAGAGGTGTTTTTGCCGCCGAACTTTTTCTTACGTGGAGCCAGAATTTTGAAAAAGTTGGCTACTAGGCGTAGTCTGCCCTATCTGAACATGATTATCACATCCGCTCGGCACGAAACCTCCTCGCACCCGTGTCACAGGCGCCAGCGCCAGAATACCCTAGATCACCAAGTTCGTTGAAAACTTGTCAACTGGGGTAGTTTGACCTCCTGGACACAAATATCCCATTAGCTGAGCCCGGAAATGCCTGGCGCCGGCGCCATAAAACTCGAAATCACCAGAAGCACTAAACTTTTCAACTGGAGCAGTTCGACCTCCTAAACAGTCACATCTGCGTGGGGCGTTGAGAATGTTTGGGATAGAGAAACGATAATTGTGACTTGCGCAACTCTGCATCGCACCATCCCGCTGAGATGGGCCTCGTCTCTCTGCAGGCTGACACCTCTGCAGAAGGAAGGATGTACTAATGACAGGCAAGCAGGAAAGTGGTGCGTCTACTTCGGCAACTTGCCCCAATGTCTCTATGCACACGAGCCTGCAACTGGAGCGACTGGCAGTCTGTGCTAACCGCGGCCGGAGTCGGGACTCCTGTGATGGGTCGCCTGTGGCGTATGCGTCAGGCGGTTCCGGATTTCGTGTCTAGAGGGTCAAACTACCCCAGTTGACAACTTTTTGAACGCAATCTGAGTGATTAGGGTATTCTTGCGCTGGGCCAGTGACCAAGGCCGTGCGAGGAGGTTATCGTGCCGAAGGCGAATTGATTGATAATCATAGTTCCAGATGTCCAAAGTACCCTAGTAGCGCACTGTTCAAGCCAATTTCTGCTCACGAAAAAAGTCGGGCAAAAACAGGCCTGCTTTCGGGTGATTTGGGCAGTAAAAACACTGCCTAAAACTCTTCAAAGCGAAACAGAATTGCCGGCAATTGAGTCTTTTTCTGCTGCAAGTAGGAGCAAGGTTGACAAAGAAACGGATAAAAGTATTTCTGAACTCGCAAAAGATGTTCCGAAAAAATGCAAAAATCAGGACCCGTCAAGGAATCGAACCCACGACCTCCCGCCTATGAAGCAACTTACCTATCCACTATACCATCGACCACTTGAGACTGTGGGTACTCGAACTCAACTTGAGCTACGCAAAGGAGGATCGGCGAGTGCTATGCTAAAACCACCACCCCCCTAACTCCTCATAGAGAATCGTTCAGCAAATTTTGGAAGCAGATTTGAGTTCAGCGTCCCAAGACCTACACGTCGATATGCATCTCATCTTGAATGGCCATGGCGACCTGTTGACCTTTCCTGGTAAGCTCCGCATTCGCGTAACATGTACCACTCTTTGCTTCCCAAAAGAGCACGTATAGAGGCCTACTAAACTGTCCTACGACGCTACATATAACCAAAAGCGAAATAGGTAATTTACCGTGTAAGTCGTTGTCTTGCACACTGAAAAAATAGAAAGTGCAAGAGTCACGCGTCTGTGGCCTTTACCTTTCCTTTTCAAGGGGCGAAAATAGGTGCTGTGCTAGCGCGGATCTCGATTTTGTATGCACGAAGGCATTTTGCTGATTACTTGGTGGCGGAAACTGTCTTCAAAGTATGAATGCAGCCTCAGCCGCGTTCATACATTGCGTCAGCGTGTGGCGGCTTTTGAGCCACGTCAGCAATCAGCGACTGGGAAATTATGGTTATTGACCTAGCGTTCCGAGCGTCCAGCAGCGTATGCCACCATACGTCAGGTACAGCAGCGTTTCGAGCGACCAGGAAAGTGTATACATCTATCAAGCTTACCGCAGCGTTTTCGCGGGCAGCTCTGCTCAAGCTTGAAATGCCTGTGACAACGCTGGATCGATATTCATATCTTCCTGGTGGCTGAATCTAGCGTATGCTCGAAACGCTACCATATAATAGCGTACCCTGGCGCAAAGTATGAACGCAGCCGCAAGGTTTCCCGTGTGGCGCACGGCACGTTTATGAGTCAAACTAGTAGTAGATATAAGAGTGAAATAGATCTGGTCAGCAATATGACCAAATAACAAAACCATTCGTCAACAACCTAGTGTCGAAATTCCTTTATATTGAACTGTTTGCCTCGATAAGCGCACTATACAGCCCCACGGTGATTATTGTAGGACGCAAGAGCAGGCGAACAACTCATGCAACGCAGTATTCCGCCGAACACTGTGAAACATGAATGATCGCTGGCTTGTCACAACGTCAGTCGCTTGGCTTGCGCTTTATTGGTTCCGAGGAGTATCCTACAAAAAATACTTCACTGTGCGCTAATTACCGAACTTTAAGAACACATTCTAGACTCTCCGACGGTAGGATCTGCGTCTCAATGTACAAACAGTGTCGATTGCTATATGCTGGAACGACCGATACGTAGGAGTTGCTCCACCAGGGTACAGCATGGGGATGTGTCAAATGGCGGGTGTGGGTACGACCCCCCCCCCTCGAAGAGGGTCCAGATACGACCCCCCCCCTCCTGCTCTAACTGACAACCAGATGCATGTTCACCACAAATGGCTTCCTGAAATGGAATCTGGATTCTCGAAAGGCGCACTCTGCTCTAAAATACAGGAAATAAAAGGCTGTTTCAGCCTCATGCAATATGAGGCTGAACAACAGCCTCGCATTACCTACAATTTTGTCTTAGGATTCAAAATAAAACTCCTCGTTCGATAACTATGTATGACATGCAACTTGTAACAAGAAACACAATTGAAATAGCGGCTAATGGTGATCATTGATAGGCTGAATTGGTGAAAAAATAGCCCCAAGGTGAGCGTGTCAGGGCCCAGATGTGCATTCAATGAATGGTGACGGGGAAATAATGAAAACATGCACGACACAACAAAGCGAAACATGGAAAATACAAAAAAATGCAGAGG